TCTTGTTCTTTTGCAAGAGTACAAAATTATTCTTTCACTGGGAGCTTCTGGGATCTATTTTAGAGTTCCTACTCTAACCTAGAGGAGAAGGTGATGGTTCTCTCATCCACATATCGACTATTTAGATTTGGCTGAGAATAGTCAGATCAACCAAGGCTGGCTAACTGTTTCCAATGGTTTCCTTGTCATGAGATACATTTCCCCCTCCACAAATAGTCTTGGAAAGCCTCCCTGACCTTCTCATTCCTTAGAGTATAATAAAAGGATTCAGTAATGGGGTAACCATAACAGTAAGAACTGCCACTGCTTTCTGGACACCCCAAGACTGGCCCTTGCTGGGCAAAGAGTACATGAAGATGGTGCTGCCATAGGAAGCAATTGTGAGATGAGAGACTCAGGTTTCCAGAACCGGGAAAGTATCTATATCATTGCAAGAAAGCTTTACCATTGGAGCCTAGTCAGAGAAGAAATGATAAATTATTTCTTAGAGGCCTAGAAGGACAGTTGGCACAAGATAAAACTTGGCCCCAAAGTACTAATGAAAGCACCAGTCCAGCAGCCCAATATCAAACTCATACAAACACAGCAGTTCAGGATGATGGCATAGCCCAGTGGGTGACAAATAGCAAAGGCCATCATGGCAATCAGGACGATTTCATAGGTACCAAGGAAGGAATAAGAACAGCACTGAAAGAAAGGGATAGTTTTGTTCAGGGAAACCAGGTTCACCAGCATCTTGGGAATGACTACAAGGACAAAGAAGATCTCCAAACAGTTTCTGCAGAGGAAGAAGTATTTGGGGATATGGATATATTTCTTGAGATTGTACTTCTTTTTCTTTCTTCTACGACAGGGACTTTGGGAAGTGTTTCCCTGGATCCCTTTTGAATGTCATCTCATATTTCTGCACTTAAAAATGTTTCAGCCCCTTTTGCCTAGGAAATATTCCTGCATAATTCCACCCAGGCCATCTACAATCCCTTTACTTTGCTGATGGTGGTTTGCAGTTCTCACTAGTGCAGTTCTCTTGGCCCCATGATCAACAGGGTGTCAAGGAAAGGAGGGAGGGAAGGAAGGAGGGAAGGAGGGAGGAAGGAAGGCAATTTTTTTTGTTTTTGTTTTTGTATACATATATACCTTTTGTTAACCAAAATACAGAGCGGATGGTTTATTAACTGGTTATAATATAAAGGTTATATTTTAGAGGAATCTGTCTTTAAAGAAGCAACAATTAAAATGTTTTGCTAATCATATTCCATTGACCTTTGCTTTGCACTTTTTTTTTTAAATAGAAGCGATCATTGTATCCGATTTCATTGCTCTCCATGCAGGCCTGGGTACGGACCAGCAACTGGACAGGTATTTTCCCCTCCTTCTCTTCTAGGGAGATTTATTCCATTGCAAGTAACAGGAAGAAATTCACACAGA